AAATTTAGCCTCACCTGTGAATCTCTGAAAGTGATTGTTAAAGAAGCAAAGAGAATGCAGGCTGTCGCATAAAGGTGAAGGAGTGAGGCTTCAAAATCTCCATGAACTTTCCGCCACTCCGTGAGAGGTCTCCTTTTTTACCTTGTCCCTGTGACACAGCCCAGCAGCCTTTGAAGAACTAACGTGATTGCTAATCTGGAAATCAGAAAATACCTCTGGGGAACCTCTCCTTATCTGTCTAGCAAGTATAGGGGTTGTTACCATGTCCCTCGCCATCACCTTGTTTTCCAAGATAATGTTTACATTACATTTTTAAAAATGCATTTAACTGTCTGGGCATTGCTTCTAATACACACAAGTGAGAACGTTCTGGGTCTTTACTCTGGCCCCATTGATATTTCCCCTCCTAATTGTTCTCCATCCCTCTCTATACGAGCTGCAGGCCTTCATCTGAATATGATTTCTTCCCCGTTCAGTAGTTTAAGTACATGGGAAGTAGAGAAGCTACAATCATCAGGGGCATGAGTAGAAAATTTAGGTATAACTTATAGAAACAGCTCCAGAGGGACATTAGACTCCAGCCCCGTTTGGGGATTATTCTGAAGAGGAAGGTCTTGTGACTCTTGAGAACTGACCATTTTCACAGTGGACTACTTGGCATAAGAGAAGATGCAGCGACTAGATGCAATTAGGAGGGCAGATGGTGCCCCAGCATTCTCTGCTAACATCAAGGCATTCCATTAAAACACTTAGTTTGCCTGTTTGTGGTTCTCTCTTATATTCTGTGAACTCCTGCAAGGGAGGGCGTGTGTCAGTTCATCGCTATACTTTCAAAGTTAAGCAAGGTCCTAGTTACCCACCAGTTTTTCAAAAGAAATGATGGGATAGATATGTAGGTAGTTAAATAAATGATTGACTGAGTCAGCACCCAGTTCAAGTCAGTGGATTATATACTTGGACCCCTGAGTATCTCTTCGATTCTGAATGACTTGCTCTCTTCCAGGCCCTCCAGGTCCCCCAGAAGCTGTGACTATAGATGAAATCACAGACACCACTGCTCAGCTCTCTTGGAGACCTGGACCCGACAATCACAGCCCCATTACCATGTATGTCATCCAAGCGAGGACTCCATTCTCCGTGGGCTGGCAAGCCGTCAGTACAGGTACCATGTTGCATGCTGAGTGCTGGTGTCTGTCAGAGGCTTCTAGAATGAAGTGTGAATGAAATATGCAAGAACCGGGAAACAGCCAGGTCCACATAGCTACAAATGATACATTATGTCTCTGTCTCCCACACATGAACCAACTTTGGTTTCTTTGAAATTTTCTTCCACACTAACTTGTGGTGATATTTTGTTTGTGCTATCACAAATAAAGCTTGAAGATCAGAGGATAGACCAGACCACTAACTAGCCATAGAGGCCAGGCAGTGTTGACACACACCTTTAATGGGGAGACAGAGGCACCTGGATCTCTGTGAGTTCAAGGTCAACCTGGGCTACCTGAGATTGAATCAGTCTATAAGAAAAACAGAGCCAAGAGATGGTGGCCCACGCCTTTAATCCCAGTACTTGGGAATCACACGTCTTTAATTCTGACTTGAATCCTAGTCAGAACTAGGAAGGTGGAGACAGGAAGCAATATGGCTGGGCAGAGAAAAGAATATAAGGAGGGGGGAGACAGGAGCTGAGGACGTATAGTCTGAGTACTTGTAGAGACAGGATACCCCCATTCAACCTGAGGATTTCGAGGAGTTAAGAACTAGTGGCTGGCTTTTTTGCTTCTCTGATCTTTCAGCTTTCACCCCCTTATAGCTGACCCCAGGTTTTTATTATTAAGACCAATTAGATTTGTGTTCCACTAACTTACATTATTGTTACTGGACCTGAGCATTAGTATCTATGGGATTATTACTGTGTTGTTAAGGGTATTTTTATTTTCTAAAAAAGCTTGAGACTATTTATAAAAATAAAATGCATTGAGCTGTGTATTACCTAAAATTACCTCCATACCACTGTGTTCCATATTGGAAAAGTAGTGGAAAATGCAAGCCTACAATTAGTCTTTTCAAGATTCATGTACGGCTGTCAGGAGCATAATATCTAAGAACTACGTAGAGTCTTGTGCCTTGCTGCCCCAGTTGCACATACAACTGATTTGGAGATGAAGAGGTATGGAAATTCTTTAACCAGTCTCACAAACTCTAGTCTGTGTTTTTTTCCCCCTTTTCTGCTTCTGTGTTAGGTTCTTTGCCATTGTGACAAACACTTGGGAGAAACAGTTTAAGAGGGAATTGTTTTGGTCCAATGCTTGGGACTTGAAGCCAGGCAGAATACCTTGGTGGTGGGACCACGGCATCTCAGAGCTGGAAACCTCATGGTGTCTTTGAAACAGACAGGATGCTCTTCAAAGGGGTACCCCCAGTGAGACACCACCTCCAGCTAGACCCACCTCTAAAGGTTTTGTCACTTCCCCAACTAGGGCCAGTAGCCTAGGACCAAGTTTTAGCATGTGACACTGGGGTGGCGACTTCAAGTTCAAACCATTACTGTTGCTCATGGTTCGTATAGTGAAGTAATTCTCACACTCTCTTTGTTTCCCAAATTCACTCACACCAGACTCCAGTTGCTGATACCACAAGACCCAAACTCTTCAAAGGCCCACACTTTTCCACTGCCTTATGTTCACACCACGTATTTTCTATAATGCTGGGCCCATCTGTAATTCTTACAGGTGTTCTAACAGTAAAGTAAAATTATTTTATTCATGCTGAAGGTTCATTACCATGCCTCTTTAGCAGAAGAGGAAACTCAGGTTCTACAGAGATCTGGCGATTATCAGGGTAAAGATGATGATTCACTTTTCTTACCTTTCTTTCGAAAACACCTCTTTCAACCCACAGAAAGACAGTGTCAACATACAGAAGCCTATTTCTGAGGTGTGATAAACTAAAGGAATGAGGTTGGGATGGGGCGGGGGTGATCCAAATCCATATATGAATTTCTCAAAGAATTATTGCAAATATTACATTGTAAAAAATTGGATTAAAACAACATGATTATATAAATTACATAAAGTTGGACCTAACATTTATTTCTGTTTCAAGACATCAAAATGACACAACCATCCCTTGGAGGAAGATGTCCCTTGTATCTTGCTTACAGGAACTCCTGTTTCTCTAATTTCTTCCTCAAATGTCATTTCAGTGAAAAGATGAAATATTTATGAGAGTTGGGATTGGTAAAATAATTAAAACCTAAGTGACATGACAGTAAAATTTTGCTAAAAGGAAATATAGCATTAGTATGCGTGAGTGAAGAATGATAAAAAGTATTGCTACAACTGATAGTAACAAGAGCGTTACAGTTTAAAGTTGAAATTGTCCCCCTCCAAAAGTCACGTGATAAAAAAGCTTGGTCCTAGGCTACTGGCCCTAGTTTGAGAGGTGACAAAGACTTCAGAGGTGGGTCTAGCTGGAGGTGGTATATCACTGGGGGTACCCCTTTGAAGAGCATGCTGTCCTTGGCCTCTTGCTGTCTCTGTTTCTCAGACACTAAGGTTTCCAGCTCTGAGATACCATGGTCCCAACACCAAGGTATTCTGCCTGGCTCTTCAAGACCCATGCCTTGAATCCAGCCAACCTTTGACCAAAACCTCTAAAACCATGGACCAAAATAAATCCTTATCCCTCTTAAACTGTTGCTCCCAAGTATTTGTCACAATGGCAAAGAGCCTAACATAGAAGAAGATAAAGGAAAATGTGTGAAATAGATTTTTGTGAGATAGGTGTAAAACATGTTTTTAGTTCCTCATCATCCCAGCGGGATAACCACAGTGCCCTCCATGAAAGTCGGAGTGATGGTGGTGATGGTGATGACGATGCTAGAGGCTCCTAAAATCATCTCTCTATTTTGGTGGAGCTGAGTGGATGCTCTTAAACCCTCTCACCCACCTTTTCATATCTTTCAGTTCCAGAACTCGTTGATGGGAAGACATTCACAGCAACTGTGGTGGGTTTAAACCCCTGGGTTGAGTATGAATTCCGAACCGTTGCAGCTAACGTGATTGGAATTGGGGAACCCAGCCGGCCCTCAGAGAAACGGAGGACAGAAGAGGCTCGTGAGTATTGCTCAGGTCATATAGGGACTGTTCCGGCAGCTCCCATTCCTTAAGGAGAAACCTTGACGTAGCTTCAATGAGCTCTACATTTACACACATTTCCCTTAAGTGATCATAATGACCATATATCTGGCCAGTAGAATTCCAACCTTGTGGGTAGTGAGCTTTAATCCACTGGTATAGCAAATATATATATATATATATATATATATATATATATATATATATATATAGTGCCTCTGTTTAACTTTTTCTTCTTCAGTTCATATGCCAGAAAAGAAAAAAAAGTCACAAATGCTCAGAGTAGATTTCTTCAGAAATCCTTGCTAGGATTTTCTTAAGACATAAACCATTGCCACAAGTGAAGGATGAGAATATACTGCCTAAAGCTTGCATGATGAACTCAGGATAAAAGTAATGTGTACCCAGCTGGGTCAGATTATATACTCTTGTAAACTGGGAGATCCTGTTGTGTGGTCACTATAGTGTTCCCAGCCATGAAAATTACAATGATTTGCAAAAGCATAGCAAGATCCTAAGCAGACCAATAATTTCATATTGTTCCTGGAATTGGTAAAAAAAAGTCCATCTAGGTATGTATCGTTGACTTTAAGGGGATATACTGAGGTACCAGCTGCAGTTTCCAGCTAGATAGTTAAAGACTGCCTGAGTCCTTCATTTATTTGACAGCGTAACAAATCCTAAACTTTCTTTTCCCAGCTCCAAAATTATAACTCAGTTCCTCCCTACAGCCCTGAGAAGGAAGTGAGTCTTATTTCCCCTCTTTTCCAGAGAAAACTGGGGATCAGAGAGGTTAAGCACAGAGAGCCAGGGTTCAACCTATGTCCACCAATTCCTTCAACACCCAACTCAAAAGCTCACCTTCTTCTGAGAAGCCATTAGCCCAGTGCTCGGCTGAGCAACCTGCTGCTCCAGAACACAGCTGCCCTTCCTCATTCTGTCTGCGACATCGCTGGGTGTTGTCCAAGTCTGTCTGTGATATTCTGCATGTGTGTTCAACCTCCTGCTAGATTGTAAGCTCCACGTGGGCACAGTTTGTCCTGTCTCTCCCTTGTTACTACCACATGGTTAATAAATGTCTTACCAAACTTGAGGACAGATTCTTCGGTCCTTTCTTTCTCTGTGCAACTCATAGGTACTTAGGGACAGTACCCAGTACAATTGCTCGGTAGTACCTGGTAACATGCATACCCTGTTGATCCTGTAATAATAGCAATTTCATTGGGACATTTTGCTTCTTCAATCCAGTACAGTCTTCCTTTTGTGGGTATTATTTCTGATATCCAAAAGACAAAGGGACACGTACCCAAGAATTCATTAACAGTGAGTCACCCTATCTGGGCAACCTTCCTAGCCCACATTTGCCATTAGTACCTGAAATAACTTGGTTTCTTTTCTTTTCTTTCTTTCTTCTTTTTTTTATTTTGTCTCCTGCAGTCCCCGAAGTCACCCCAGCTAACGTCAGTGGTGGTGGAGGCAGCAAATCTGAACTGGTTATAACCTGGGAGGTAAATCCATCACAGGACCAAAGGGACATGCATTTGTCTCGGTTATTTTGCTATTTTCCTCCATATGACAGGAAGCTAGAAACAGTCCCCCTCTGTTTTCAAGAAATCTATTAATGTCTATCAGGAAATGAAGGTGCTTGGCCACCCATTGTTGAAACAAGTTTTAATTTGACTCCTTGTGAGAGGAAAAACAATCATGAAAAAGGAGATAACACAAGTTAAAAAAAATAATAAGGAAGTCTGGTTCAGAGAAAGTCGCTCTTTCTTTTCTTTCTGAATTGCCGCATGGCCAATTGATTTAAAACATCTGCCAGTTATAGATTGAGTGTCCCAGAACAATTTCCTAGCAGTTGGCTTTGCTGCTGGGCTCCAAGGTATTTCTTTAAACAACCTGGAGGAAGGTTAGTCACCAATTTATTAAAAATTGATTTTGAGAGAGAAGGTGGGAGCTTCAAAAGAGGTTTGAAATGTGTTTCAAAGGTTTTAGACAATGTCCCCTGAAATAAAAAGCCTTTAATTCACCCTAAGCCCCAGCAGGGAAAGGAAAGAAATCTCTCCCTCCCTCCTAACTGAGCTCAGAGTCTCTCCTGGTTGGGGAGGGGAGGGAGATATTGCCTGAGCAGAGGTGGCCTTCTTTTGTGAATTCTTTTGTCTATCTGGCACCGAAAGAAAATATTATTAGATGAAGCACAGTGGACAGGTTATTTTTTAGGAAATCAGCTGTGTGGTAAATTAGTCATCATTTGTATCTGTGTCAGAGTTGAGGCCACCTCTCCAGAGCCCAACTCTTCTCTGTAGATCTTCATTTCATTCTCCATGGCTGGAGTTGTTCTGGTACCGCATGATTATCTTAGGCAGGTTAAAGGATATCTCTACATTGAAACGATTGTTGAGAATAAAACCCAAAAATAAAGTGATGAGGGGAGCACCCTTTAATGTTTTAGTGAGTTGAGGCAAGAATTAGAGAGTGACCTTTAATAGTTGAATCAATTAGAGGAGTACTCTTTAATGTTTGAATCAATTAGGGGAACAACCTTTAATATTTGATATTAAATAATTCATGTTATAATTAATTAATATTCAAACTACTATGCTTTCTGAGTTCCATATCTGTTTCTCCCCAGACAGTCCCTGAGGAATTACAAAATGGCAGAGGCTTTGGTTATGTGGTAGCCTTCCGGCCACATGGCAAATTGATCTGGATGCTGACAGTGCTGGCTTCAGCTGACGCTTCCAGATATGTATTCAGGAATGAAAGTGTGCGCCCATTCTCTCCCTTTGAGGTTAAAGTGGGTGTCTTTAACAACAAAGGAGAGGGCCCTTTCAGCCCCACCACGCTGGTGTATTCTGCTGAAGAAGGTAGGGGTCATGCTACCTTGATATTTCTTCAACTCTCAAGGGGTGTTCCTTTCTTAGAGTATAAAATACTTATAAAACAAAAGCATATACAAGTATACTATAAAAGTATTGATACTCTCTAACATACATACATATACACACACACACACACACACAATTAAGAACACAGCCACTCTGGCTATGTGTGTACACCCCAGGATTACTGAAGATGAGAGTTTGAGGGGGGTTAGCCAGTTTGAGGCTTACCTGAGGTATACAGCTAAACCTGTCTCCCAAACAAAAACCTCAAATATGACTCTATCATATATAGAAAAATAGGGCTTTCCATCAATTGATTGCTTTGTTAAGGACCAACCAAGCTTACAAGTTTTCTGTGTTATCTTCAGATCATACTTTCTATGTCTGTATCTACCTATTGATACATAATGCCATGTCTATCTGTTGATACATAATACCGTGTACCTATCCATTATCATTAGTTTTAGGAATCATATTTCATGCTTTCCAGTAAATAAGCAGATGGAATGTTTCATTCTCTCTCATCATCTGTGTTTTTAAGCCATTTGCCCTGACTCTGACTTCTTAGGAGAAGGAGCCATGACACAGCTTGGTTGCATGCATGCCATTCACACTGTTGTGATGGTCAAGGGTCCTCACTATTATGACTTCTCTGGAGAAGCAAAGAGAGATCTCCTTGTCCTATTTCCTGGAATGTGCAATGGAGAGGAGTACACAAGTTGTCACTAAATTGTACCAGATGAATGCTTTATTTTTTTAAAAGGAGCTTTATTATAGTATATTGTAAGGGATACTCATCAGAGAATGAGGATGGTGTTCTTTTATAGGCGTTGTAGGTCCCTGGAACAGAAGAACATTTAAATGTATCAAATAGTTATATGCTGATTTGAATTGAATTGTGTCTTAAAAAGTACAGAGCAGACCAAGAAAAGGTTTTGTGAATGTTTTTATTTAAGTTATGGCTGAACTATGTTTTTCTGCAAGGTACAGTATTGAAAGAAGAGTTGCATATACAAATGGTATATAAGTCTCGGAAAAGTCTGGCAAAAAACACTAATATCTGAGAAACTGTTGGTTCAGTCTACCATTTGCATCCAAGGGTACTGAGCCCCAGAAATTATAGATTATTTGTCTAGGGTTTTAAAGATTACCTTTTAAAACTAAGCCGCTACGCTGTTTCCTTGAAACGTAATCAATTCGGTTAACTGCTCTTGTTTCTTTCTCTCTTGTTTTCATAATCGAGCAACTGGGACTATTACTTAACTTAATTAAGAAAGATCTACTTGAAAGAATTGCTGACCATGAAAACTTATTGCTAAACTTGATCTGGAGTCACTTTAGTTCCACTTACCTGCAGGGTAGACTTTTGTAAGACTTTCGAAGTGTCTCTTTCCTAACACATGTTTATTTTAGGGAGATGCTGAGAGTCTCACAGGTATTAAGGACAGCTTATGACCATGGCTTCTATTTACCTTTTAGCCCCATTTCTAGAAGTTTGTTCTGATGTTAATATCTGAGTAGTAACGTTCTGAATTCATTTGCAGAACCCACCAAGCCACCAGCCAGTATCTTTGCCAGGAGTCTTTCTGCCACAGATATTGAAGTTTTCTGGGCCTCCCCCATTGGGAAGAATAGAGGGCGGATTCAAGGCTATGAGGTAAGCTAGAGACATGTGCATTTGATCTGTGTCTCTTGGTGAGACCTTTAAGACATTCTCACTGATGGAAGAAGACCCACACCAGCCTACACAGGTATCTATTCTAGAGGCCTGGTTTTACCATGCCATTAATAGAAGCACTAAAGAATCTACTGGAGACTGCCTTTTATCTGTATTTATGCCCAAGTTTAATATTATACTTTCATGTGTGTGTATATGTGTGTGCGTTTAAAAACCTAAAGACTCACAATATTGTTGGCAAAATGAGCTTATATACGACATGTTCATAGGGATAGAGAAATGGCTCCCGAAGTCAAGAGTGCTCATTGCTCTTGCAGAGGATCAAGTTCCATTTCCAGTATCCTTGTTGGGTAATGGACAACTGCCTATAAGCCAAGCTGTAAGGGATTTGATTCACTCTTCTGGCCTCTCTGGATACTTGTATTCACACATACATACATATGCATAAACACACACACACACAGAGACACAATTTTAAAAAATAAAATAAAATATTTAAAAAAAATTTTTTTTGTCTTACATACCCAGAATCACCTGCACTCAAACTAAAGTTGTGGAAAATAAAAGAAGTAGCCATTGACGATTTATCAGACTGCCCATGTCAGTGGAAAAGAAAAAGGAAAAGGAGATTATTCTCACTGTGGCTAATTTTACAGATAATGTGAATCTCCTTGTTCTAAAAGTTCTGTCTGTGAATTAATACAGAAATGTAACTCCATCATAAGGACTTACATAAAAATATTATTACCTGATGACATTGGAAATATTCCCAGGGGGATATGATTTCCAAGGTCTTTCTTTTTATTTTCTCAGGTAAAATATTGGAGACATGATGACAAGGAAGAAAATGCTAGAAAAATACGAACAGTTGGAAATCAGACATCTACAAAAATCACCAACTTGAAAGGGAGTGCATTGTATCACTTAGCTGTCAAGGCATATAACTCAGCTGGGACAGGACCCTCCAGTGCGACAGTCAATGTCACGACCAGAAAGCCACGTAAGGACAAAGTTGCTCAGAAATATTTTGGGAATTCATCAAACATACTCCAAGTTCATTACCTATCCCCACCTCCCAGGGATCATTTGCATACTAATTGGTATCATTATATGGATTCAAATGCACCTTAGCATTTTAACTGAACCTTTCAGAATACCGTGCCAAATTCATTGCTCCAGAGGACAGAAAGATAAATGTTTTTCTCCTCACTAGGAAGGATTACTTCTTTTAGCTATAAATGGTAGGCGACCAACTGAATCTTTTTCCATTTGCAATGCTGTATCTCGTCAGATTTCAGTGACCTTGAAGACACATATTAGTGCAATCGCCCATTAAATTGCCTCTACTCTAGAATTCTAGTAAGGAGACATTCCTCAGAATCCATTGAGATTTAATAATCTGTGACTTCGTCTATCTTAATTTTTTTTTATAGCACC